TTATCCTCCTGAAAACCCTAGAATTTAAACATGGTGGAATCGAATATAACGCATAATAATTCAATCAAAACATTGGGTTAGCTTCAGAAACTCATAACAAACATGAATCAATGAATCAAAATGGCAAAGCATGTATAAATTATGATGCACGATTCCAGAAATTTTTGGACACAGTTGAGGTTCAATCTACCAGTTCTTGGCGTGTTGATGGATGTTTGGGATTGGAATTGCTTCTGGGAACCTTGAGGAAGCCAATGGAATCAATATTAGGACTTGAATCCACCCATAACAATGAATTCAGTTTTGAGTTTTATGGAGAATTTTTCAAGTTTGTCTATGGCCTTTTAGCGCAGCATTCAGTCCTCTAGCATTAGGTTTGTGTTCCTGTATTTGTATGGAGTCAATTAGGTTAAGAATATTGCACAAAATCTTTTGAATTCAATGGTTTTCCAAATTGATTTTCCAAGATCTTTTTCATATCTTTTCCTCATGCTCTTGTATCAATTAGGCTCAAATCAATCCAATTCTTTCCTATTTAGCATGTGCACGAAATCTTGACCTTAAAACATGTACAAAAAGATTGGTTTGGTTAATTTAAACATTTTTCATATATTTAATTGATTTAATTGAATTAATATAAATAAAAATTCAAATAAATAAATAAAAAATGAGAAAATACTTCCCTTTGGGCCAGGTGGTCGTGCATATGCTTGGAATGATGAATCATGGAAGAAAAATGGGCCCATTAGCAAATTTAGGTCATTTGAAGTAAAGTTGACTTTTCAAAATATCCAAAAATTTCCCAACTTCCACAAGGCATAACTTGCTCAATTTTTAAGCTTTTCTCATGTTCTTGGACATTTTGGAAAGGTCTTTGAGTCCTCTAACCAATGCCTTTGGTCCCATATCATTTTGATTTACCAATCTCAAGTTATGGCCTTTGACTTAAAGTCCCTTTTTGTTGACTTTTGAAAATGACCTATAATGTTGAAATTGATAACTTTTTGTGAGAGCATTTCTTGGACTTGAAGTATGAAGATGAGTTGTAGGAAATGTCTTTCTCTTCAAAATGAGCTTTGGATGGAATTTTTCTGATAATCCATGTGAAAGTTATGCCCTGGTTAATTTCAGTTGACTTTTTCAGCTGTCCAAATATAGTAACTTTTGCATCTTTGATGATTTCTGAGCCAAACTTTGAGAATCATGATCAAGCATTGATCAAATGATGTTTGTGGCTTCAAAATGATATGTTGACCAAAAATTTGAACTTTTGACTGTCAAATGACCATTTTGCCCCTACAGTTGACTGTAGTGCAATTTAGGGTTTTGACTGTGCAATTTTGAGCTGAATGCCTTGAAACTTGATATGAAGATGCTTGACCATATTTGTGAGCATGTGAGACTTGATTGGGCCTTTGAAAACTTCATTTTCTTGATCAGAGCACAAACCCTAGTTTTGACTGTATAGGGGACCTTTGCACTGTGCAACCCTTGGGGAATTTTGTGACTTGGCTTGGCAATTTCTTGGAGAATATGGGAGGGCAAATTTTGGGGTGCAACACCCTCGAACGTAGAGATACTCTTAGCAAAGACCCTAAGTTTAAAGTCATCATAAAGATCATAGTCCCTTAATGTCCCTCGAGTTGCCTACGAGAAATGGTCTTGTCCCTCGATGTTGCCTACGAAAATATGATGACAGTCCCTTTGAATTGTTAAGGTATCTCTACATGTTGCCTTCAATGACCATAAACGTCCCTTCGATAGTCCCTCAAACATCCGACGATAGGGCTACCTACTCACTAATAGTAGGATAACACTATCTAAAGGAAAAGAGAAAAAGAACGCATTTTTCGAGTAGGTAGATAGCTGTTAAGTACTTGCTCAAAACTAAGTCTTTTACACTTACACACTTTAAAAACTCTTTTCAAAACACTTTATCACACTCTTGAGGACTGATACAAGAGTTATCATAAAGCAAACAAAAGTTTTCAAAACACACAAACACGAAAGCAGTTTTCAAAATGAGCAAGTACCTAAGAGCTCGTGGAAAATCACAGATGGAAAGGGTGCTAACACCTTCCCTTTCTATAATCTACCCCCTTACTCAAAATCTCGAAAAAGGTCTTTTTCTATTCTTTTCACCCTTTCCTTTGTTGGATAAAAGAAAAATCGTTGGCGACTCTTGCTTATCGCAATATTTGTGAACACAAAACGCAAACCATTAATAACAGTCAGTTCTCCCATCGTATCACAGGGGCCACCTCATCTAATGGTCGGGTTTCTTCCTCGATCTCTTTTATCTCGCGGGTATCCCGACGAGGGGCGTCATTATGTCGATACTGCCCGAGTCTACCACCCTTGATGAGGGTTTCAATGGCGTCCTTAAGGTGGACGCAGTCTTCAGTCAGGTGCCTGTGACTATGATGGTACTGACAGTATTTTCTCCTGTCAGCCCCGATCTTCATAGGAGCAGATCGAGGACGTCTGACGTCGCTGTCCTTGAAGTCGGTACTGGAGTACTCTGCCAGGATGTGCTCGCGGGAAGCGGCCAGCAGAGTGTATTCGGTGAATCATCTTGCAGATCCCCTGTGCTCGCGAGGATCATGCAGTTTATCATCCCTTTGCTTCTCGCCCGTTCGTCGAGGAAGGCCTACGTCCTGCTGTTGCAGGGTGTTGGTCGGTTCGCGATTCCTTGGTTCGCAGGCTTTATTGGCCGCTTCCCTCTCCTCGTAGTCCATATATGCCCTAGCTTTTTCGAGGAGAGCATAGAAAGTCAGGGGTGGTTCGATGCTGACGACCTTCCTAAACTTAGTGCCTGGGAGAAGTCCTCTCTCGAGCAAATATCTTTTCATGTGATCGGTACACGAGACCTGAATGGCCTCGCGGTTGAACTGATCAATGTACTCCTTGAGGGTTTGGTCGCTTCTTTGGACGATAGCCTCAAGGGAGGCCTCAGTCTTCGAATGTCGACGAGATGTTGTGAAAGAGATGATGAATTGGTTCTTAAGGTTTCTCCAGGAGGTGATCGACCCTGGGGCGAGATTCTTGTACCAGTCCATTGTTGTTTTCCTCAAGGTCGTGGGGAACAATCGGTATTTGATCGGTCCCTCGACGTTGTGATAGTGGAGCATTGCCTCGAATCTGTCGATGTGGTCGATAGGATCTACAATGCCGTCATATTCCTTCAGTTGGGGAGGTTTCTCCATTCCCCTGGAAATGGGCGCCTCCATGATTGCTTGTGATAGGGGACCACATGGGTCGTCTTCGTTGCTCCTATAGGAAGAGTGAGAAGGGGACCGATTGTAATGGCGGTCGTAATGATGGCCTTGGCCTCGGGGAGGATCCCTTGGCGAAGGTTGTGTTTCTTTGTTTCTCCTGCTTCTGTTTTCAAGGGATCGTCGTTCCCTGCGCGGGGGGGGGGGGGGGGGGGGGGGGGGGGGGGAATGTTGAGGCACAATGAGACCCAACAATGAAGACTATCAGGGCTTACGTGTATGAAGTACAACATGTGGCCTCCCCCTGGTCAACTGCCCCGAGAAAACAGAAATTGGACCCGTTATTCTCGGAGGGCAGGATGATGATGATATGAACACGTGAGCCACATTCCCTAACAGACACGTGGGGAGTTGTCTAACGATCCCCAACTTAAATTGTTTGCCTTTAAACCTTATACAAAAGTGTTGAATTGGATCTTCCTATTCGTGGGACAAGCACTGACCTAGTCCAGATCAATAAGAATCTCTATTAATTATTTATCTATCAAGTAACACACCAAAACAGTAAATTATATTTAAGAGAGGAATGCATTCTTCTATCAAAATTGTCATTTCGCTAATAACATATCCCATTAATTGCTTTACGTATGGTGAGAGAAAGTATAAGTATATCTTAAAAGTACCTAGAAATTTCCTTTCTTACTAACTTATTATTGCTTTACGGCCTGGCCTGGCATCTTTCTAAATGTAACCAAACAAGTTTCAAATTGACGTTGAATATCATATTTTATACTACTTACATAATTAGATGTCTTTATTTTTCATACTTTTTATTAATATTACTAATAAATAAAATTAGACGCATTAATATATAGATTAAATTCATTTACACTTTTTTAATATATCAAAATAAAAATTAAATATAAATAAATTTTTTATATCCATAAATTTTGATTGAATATCGTACATTTAATAAAAATTGATTCAAATTTTAAATTTATTTTAAAATAAAATAAAATAAAAAAATGACATGACATTAAATAACATCTTTGATTTTGATGATAGATATCTAATAGGTGTGTTTGCAGTGTGTTTCGCTTTGATTTTGAATGGTTGATTAAAAAAATATGATTTGATTGAATTTAATTTTATTTGATTTAATTTGGATTAATTTTTTTAATTCAAATTATAAATTAAACTTTTTATTAAAATTATAAAAATATTTATAAATAATATATTTAATATAATATATAACATATAAATATTAAAAATTAATATTATAAAATGAAAATGATTGATCATGGATGAAATAAATGAAATAAAATAATAAACTAAAATAAATTATTAAATAGTAAAAAATTATTGAATAATAAATTAATAATATATCGTAATAAATAAATAAATAAGTATTAAAATATATACACACGATTTAGTTCAATTTTGAAAAATCACCTTAAAATTTAATTTGGACCAAACAATTTTTATGAAATAACATCTAAATATATTTAATAATATTTAATTTTTTGTGATTTTTAATTGTTATTTGAATTGCTTTCGAAGGTATCAAACTATTCACCTATAATATATTATCATAATTTTTAATTTTTAATATAAATATAATCAATTTAATTCAACTCTATTAAATACCTCTTGTTATCTTTTTTATTTTCTAAAATTTGTGCAAATCTTTAAGGCAAATTTAATACAATAATTATTACCATAGTATATTCTAAGAGAGTATAAACAAATATAGAAGCTATTCTGACGGTGGTATGGACAGAATAATTATACATCTCTTCGACATAATGGGCAAGAACCATGCTTGATGAGCCACTTATCAATGCAAGGTAGGTGAAACATATGATGACAACGGGGTAGCCTTCTAACGCTCTCTCCAACTTGCAAATCCTGAAATTTCTTAAATAAATTATATCATGTTGACTTAAAATTTAAAACCATGAATAATTGTGCTTATAACGAAATTAACAAACCTGAAGACATACTGAACATGAAACTCTATCACCAGATGTATCATAACTATCGTTACTTGTGATAGAGATTGTTGGGATCTTTTCAACTAAAACTACCGGTAAACCTCTTGTATCGCCAACATCATAGAAGTTTTGAAACTCATAGAAGCTCATTTCATCAGTACCTATTTGACTTTGGACAGCACTCAACATGGCTGGACCTATCCTTTCACGTACAAGTCTCCCACTCATTAAACTGGTAATAACATCAATCTGCATACATGCAATAAACTTCAAAAACACGTAAACACCGATCGACACCACTTATAATTTGAAACTCACCAAGTATAAGAGACAATCAATTCCAGATTCATTAGAACGCCAAAGGTTAAGAGAATATTCAAATACTTCAATAGAGAAGACAGCTCCAGACATAGCACCGACAGCAGCACCTCGAATGAAGCCACTCTCAGTTTCTTGCCCTATGAAGGCTCCTGTCATAGCCCCCAAAAAAGTCCCCACTGCCAACAAAACAAGCCAACTCATCAAACCTTAATTTTCCCAAATATGTCACAAAACAGAAACAAGACAACACATGTAAGAAATATCAAAAGATCAAAATCAAGATCAAGAAACATATATTACCAAATGCAAAGCAGAAAGTCCAAGATCGCAGAAAAGATATTCCCGATGATGACAGAGACGATGAGGACACCAACCCATTTGACCCTCTCAACGAAATTATCAAAAACTTCCAATAAAGAGCATTGATTTGCCACATACTCCATATTGGTATCTTACAAATTGATGTGCTGTTTTTTTTTTATTAGTGTAAAGATTGTGGTTTAAGCGACAGTAATATATAATGAGTTTATAGAGAAGAGATAAAGATAAGAAGCTTTATCCATTGCACGAATGCTTAGTTAGTAACAACTACCATGAGTGAGAAGATGATGTAGTTTGAAACAACCAAACAACCAACCAGCATTTATTGTTGGTTCCCAGGGATTATAAAAATTATTAATTATGTTGATTGAGATACAATTAGAGAGCAAAACAAGAAAACACATCCAAATATTCCGGCTCAATATATTGATTAAGTTGAGTGTTAAAATAAAATAATTTATTTTCAAAAGTACTATTTAATAAGAAAATTTAAAATAGTATGGATTATTTATATATATTAAATAATTTAAATTAGATGTTATATTTTTAGATAAATAATTTAAATTGGTAAGTCATCGTATGATTCTTGAGGAGTCACTTTCATATTTCTTTGAGACATTCTTTCTACTCTATTGTCATTTGTATTTTCTATAACACTTTCCTTCCTAAACTCGAAGAAATTAATGTTTAGCATGAGTAAAAATTAAAATAAGATGCTTGTATTTCTTGTGTTAATCTTATTTCTTTTTTATGGAAGTTGATCCATCTTTAGATTCAGGTGTTTTGACCCCCGGTGAAAATGGGAGAATCTGTAGTGAGTATAGTAATTGTGTCATCCCTTTCTACGAATGTATTTTTTATCCTGAGTTTTTTATTTTCCATTCAATGGCTTTGAAATAGAAGTTCTAAATCATTTGAGGGTTGCTCTGACGCAACTGCGCCATGTGAATTTGGCGTATGTAAAAGTCTTTTAATATTTGTGTGAATATTTAAATGGAAAACCCTCTTTAAAACCTTTTCTTCAATCTCTTCAAAGTTCAACGTGGTTCCGCGAAGCTGGCACATGATCATAGTTTGATTCACCTAGTGCCAACTATTACTAGTTTTGGGGCATTTTGAAAATTGATTCTTCAAATTACCCCCCCCCCCCCCCCCCCCCCCCCCCCCCCACACACCCACCCCACCCCACCCCCCACACACACACTCGGGCTCATGCAACTGTATGCGTTGTAGGGGACAGAGTGGGAGGGAGATGCACCAACTTGTCTCCCAAGTACTTGAACGAGGGCCATTTCCTAATATGGAATGGATTGTATATATGTCTACAAAGAGAATGACCTATCTCAGGAGAATATATATCTGAAGAAACGGATAATGGGTTTCGTTAAAGAGCTAGTTACCCGGGGGCGTTACTCCTTGATATGAAGATTCACAGAAGCACTTGAAATGACTCATTGACAACTGCATGTTGATGGATGTTTGTATCAAGGAGGAAATAAAGGTTATTTTTGGTAAGTATCAAATGTACTTGAATTCTTTGTTGTCGATTCAATTAATTATAATGTGCTTACTTTGGTAATAATTATTTGCATATTCAATAAGGGATGAGAAGGCGCTCCCCTATTTAAGGCGGTGAATCTGACTAACTCAGACTGTTGTGGGCCCTTCAACTGCTTCAACAATGATCAATGCCTTCTTTCCCTTAGTGCCATCTAGGAATGTTAATGTTTTGAATGATCCCCAATGGTCGTTGCATGTTTCGGGTCCTCCGTCTCTTGAATAATTGACGAGGCCAGGCCTCCTCCCCTTAAAGAACACTAGGAATCTCTCTCAAAAGAAGATTTTTCATATTTATCCAACCTAATCAGGCGTTCTCTTGAGAAAGAACTCTCGATTCTGGCGCATTATACTCGACATGCATTTGCTACTTTGGGCATTGGTGGGGCTAAATGTTGAGATTCTTTCCAGTCTGACCAGCAATGCTAAGAGAAACAAATGCTAGATGAAAGTGTTTGTAGCTTGATGATCCAATGGGTTATGTACTTGTAAGAAATACATAAAGTTTTGGCTTCTCTTATCATGGTAGGTGATGTTTTACGCGCCCTCAATCTTGTTGGCTCTCTTGTTGGCCTGGTAACTCTTTTGGTAAGGGGTGCAGCGAGGAAGGATAAATCTGTAGCTTCTACCCAACCTATTTTCTCATCTACTTAGGCGTTCTTTTCCAAAGTTCAAAGAGATTTAGAAGCTCTACGTCTTAAGAATGCCTTTTTTTCTCAATGTTTAACTGAGTTCTCTAATGCTAGTGTCAAGACTACTTTAGATTTCTTTGAGAACACCTTGCAACAAGTAGAATATTTTAACCATCCTCTACGTATTTTGAGGGAGCTAATTCGGTCGGATCAGATACTCAAAGATGAGAAGGTCGTCTCTCTTAGGGGCTAGCAATCCTTTCCCTTTTTGTATAGTAATGTATGATGTAAAGTATAATTAAAATGAAATAGATAAGGTGTTATTTTTACGAGTTTATGGTATATGTGTTCGGTCCCAAGTACGTGCCTTCAGGCTCTGTGCGAACTTACAAGGTCTTCCCTTAAAGTATATTTGATTTCTCTAGAGTCGTGTCTGACCAAGGGTCAGTATCCCTCCCCCAAGTGAAAACCTGGACCAAGGTGGATTTGTGGCCAACCCACCGTGACCACTGATAAGTGCCAAAATATCGTTATTTTTAGAAGTATTTTGTGGCACTTATTAGCTTTGTTCTTTTGGGTTTTACAAAACCCCAACTTTTGTGTAAATAATAGTATAATCGTATTTTTGTGTAAATAGTGTATCATTTGATAGTTTTTTATCTCTTTTTTAGGTATTTGTGCATGGTTGGAGCATCTAGTAATAAGTTCCGAAGGCAAATCTTTAAGGGTGGTATAAGGGCGCTTAATGTGCGTAGGTCTGTTTAGGAAATAAAGTGCAGCGCGCTTAGCACGCTTTGTGATTTTCAATTTGTATAAATACATTTCATTTAGATTTTTGGGGCATGGTTTTGGGGGTTTTTAGTCCCAACTCCATCAACAACATTATTTTAATTGAGAGGCTTAGAAACTACATTAGAGTGTGCATCTTGATGATCTAGAGTTGGATTTCTATCAATCGGTGTTGACAAACCGAGAGATTCTTGTTCATCTTCTTCTTTCTTCTCTTTGTACCCTCTATTATTTGGGGTTGTATGTAAGTTTACTTTGATTATATGTATATTTATTGATCATGGTGTTATATATTATCAATTTTATAAATCAATATAGATGATTGCTTGCTTTATCTTGGATTTGAGTTGATATAGACATATACGGTTTGAACCTGGATTTAGGATGAACATCTATTAGATTCTAGACTCTAGAAATAGATTTAGACTTAATATTCACTATGGGTATTGGTTATTAATTTTGTTATGTTATTTAGTTGAGTGAGACATTGCGGACGAGACAATGCATTTTTTCTCTCAACTTTGTGTTAGACATAACCTTTGTTGTGGGTGATACGTGATGATATTGACGAGTATTATAGGTTGCGTATAATTGATCGATAGATTTAAGTATTTGATAGGGTAGATGAAATCCATCCCTAACGAGTTCTTTCCCCTCCAAAGAATATATTTATTTTCTTGTTCATATGTTTACTTTCCGCACTTTAAACTTTAAACCAATTGAATCCAAGCTCAGAAACACAGAGACTATTGAACGACATTCTTTCCCTCACACTAATCCCCGTGGAGATGATAAAATAAAACTAAAAATACTTACTTTTGCTTGCTTCTTTACCGCAATAACAAAATGGTGTCGTTGTCGGGAATTGGTGTTTAGATATTGAATCTAATTGCAATAGTTTCCATGTTTTTAAGCTTTGTACATATCGTACATTTGTTCATACTTGTATAGTTGTTACATGTTTTCCATACTTGTTTATAGTGTAAATATTTTCTTTTTACATAATTTCTATACTTGTGTATATTGTATATATTTGTGTTTCCCTTCATGTTTGCTAAAGTTTTGGTTAGGTGTAGTCATTGGTGACAACTAATCATACAAAGAGGCAACTTGGAGGAGTGTAAATATATAAAGGCGTTGAGCTAACGACGTAATACAAGCGCTTATTGGGAGGCACCCCAACATTTGTAAATTTTGTATAAATTTGTAGTTGAGTTAGTGTAGGTGATAATGGATGTTTAGCTTGAAACTCATATGCATTTCTGAATTTCTACACAGATCTGCTCGAACTGAGCATGGTCTGTACGCGCTAAGCGCACTTTGTTTTTCTGTGCGCGCTAAGCGTACTTGTTGTACCCCAAAATTTGCCCTCGCGTTTTTCCACAAAGAAATCTCAGCTTCAGCCTTTCCTGATTTTTCAAACTGACCCAAGAATTGGACAAACGGACTTTTCTTGTCAGTCAAGCGAAATTAGGGTTTTTACTGATTTTCAGGGCTCTGGATTGTTTCACAGTTGACTTAGGGTTTTGGATGATTTTTGGTTCAACTTTGATATCAGGCGAGCGTTATTTGGCATTTAATCAGGAATTAAGGTTTTATGGGCATGTTCTCAGGAAGGTTAAAATTCCACAGCACTTTGCCGTTTATTCCGAGATTGGGGTTAAATTCGCATTGTTTTGATTTAATCAGTGAAAGAGACAGTGGTTTGAATTCATGTTGTTTGCTTTGAGCCAGTCAAATACAGTATGCAGTATTGGATTCACAGTGTTTATGGCAAATCAGTGAAGAAGGAATGCGCTTGATCAGTTTATTTTGGTTGACTGCTGCTTTGCTTTGGATATTGGAAGAGACAGGTTTAATTGATCAATATTGTTTTTATTTAAGTTATTTATTATTCTAAAATTGAATGATTGAAATTTATTTTTCAATTGTTTTAATTCAAAGAGTTTTAAATAAATAAATAAGCAATAAAGAAAGAAAATTAGAATTAATTGGATAATTTAGATTTTATTGATATTTGAATTATTTGTACAAATTGTTGTTTATAATTTAAATTACAAACAATAATTTACACTAATTTAAATATTAAATAAAATAAAAAACTATCCTATTTCTAATATTCTTCATTCTTCACTTCGCTCCGG